TTCTAGGTTTTTTTTTTAAATTATATTTCATTATTATAGCTTTTAGAAATTATTAGTAGATGCAATTTTAGCTTAATTTCTCTTTTTTTTTTTTTCGTAATTGTATAGATACATTTATTGATTTATTTGTGTCCCCAATTAGTCTCTGAGACTAAATACATTGACACATTAATAAAGGTTGATTGATTGATTGATTGTGATAAAGGTTCATACCCTAATAAGGTTTCCTAACAAAAACCTTAGGGACTGGGTGATCATAGAAAAGCAGCGATTCCTCTTAACAATTTCAAAACATAGCGTAGTAATAAAATGTACATAGCCAAAGAATTTACTGACCTCAATATTTTTAGTGGCCAACCTCGTCAAACTAGAGCCAGTTCTCTTGCGTACAGACGAAAGGTATTGGACAGCCATACTTCCACTGTCCTCTTTACCATAGTTCGTCAGTCCGTATGTAAGTCTTTGCCACCTCGTGTAGGTGTTTTCCCAGGCCTACGAGAGAAATACTCTTTAGTATAGAGGTTTTGCGCACCATGAGTAAAGTTTGTTTGGTGTCTCTCTTGATTGGAGGGTTTTTCTTCGGGTTCTCCAGTTTTCCTCCCTCTGCAAAACCTAACATGCTAAATTTCAATTCCAACTGTGAGTTATCCGTGCCCTGACTTTGATCAGCCCAGAGTTTGTTTCAGGGTTCGATCTGTGAGTTACCTTTGGCCTGGCTTTGGTCAAACCAGAGGTTGCTTCAGGGTACGGTTAAAACTAAAGGTTATGAATCCTGTATACCATGCATGTGTCGGTTTTCTACATCTCCTTCTAGCCTTACCATTCAGTCACTCACCTGTACATTGCCTGGTGTTTGCCGGTCAAACTGTCGTAACAATGCCATGATTTTCTTCTGAAGAGCAGCACGTCCTACGATATGAGAATATTGACACTAAGCTTTACCCTACTATGACATTGTTCACTAGCAAATGAATATAGAAAACTCAGGTCAAATGTTGATGTTTATAGAGGGAGGGATAAAGAATGGAGTAGAACATTGTCCCGTTACCTGCAGTGAATCTCGTTGCTTCAGCAGCCAGTTCAGTCATGACATTCATGTTACCCGAGTTGTGAAGCTCGTTAAGGTTTTCTGAGCTTTGCAGGATGTCCATCTCTTCACACAAGTGTCCGAAACACGACAGAGCCAACAACGCTGCCTCGATGTCTGAGCTCCATAAGTAGCTGAGAAATGCTTCCTGATAAAACATAACGGTTTGTGTTTCAGAATGAGAAAAGGACCAATCAAGAAGCTATCAGTGGATAAGTCGACGCTATTATACAATAAATTTTTTCATTGGATAAGATTTATCCATTGGATAGCACTATCCCCCCTTCGTACAACAAGGCCCAGAATGAGAAAAAAGTAGGTTAAAAGTAAGTAGTGGGATTTGAAAAGGACCAATATTACATCAATCAGGTTACAAAAGATAACACAGCCAATGGGAACGAAGGGAAAAAAGAGCATATTTGCTGGCGCACGCATTAGACGCACGTACTACTGTAATTCCATCGGTGAGCATGTTGCCTGATAATGTATGATACTGATGATCAAGGTATATGATGTCCGATAACAGGTGCGCGTTTTGTAAACAGAGCACCGCGTGACGCAACCGATGGGTGTGCTATCAGATAATTCATGATACTGATGATCGAGAAATAGGGTGTGCGATGAGTGTGCGCTGCGTAAACAGAGCACCGTGTGACGTAACCGATGGGTGTGTTGTTAGATAATGCATGATACTGATGATCAAGGTACATGGTATCCGATAACAGGTGCTCGTGAAAACAAGGCACTCTGTGATGCAACCGATGTATGTGTTTTTTTATAACGCACGCCAACGTTAATCACGACGACTCACCTCAAGCTTATTGTGTGCCAGAGAACAGACTGGTATGTGGCAGCCAGTAGATGCATGTTCCTGTCAAATAACACAGAACAGATTTTCATTTAACATGGCATTAGATGTTTTTGTCGCCGATCTGTTCCATAGACTTCTTTACATTGGGCGTAATTCTTTCCTATTTCAGACGACGTGTCATTTTTTTGAGAATAAGATTTTTTGTTTGAGTTCTAACCATATTCATGTGTCTTCTCGTGTGCAACCGTTAAACAAATAGATGATACTCTAAGGAATGACACGTGGTCTGGAATGGGAAAACATCATACACATGCAGTTTCTTTTTGCAAGGCGAAAGTAAGATTAAAATGCCATAAACTGCATTATTTATGAGTGTGAGTGCTTTTKGGGGAAGGAGGAGGGGGAGGCGGAGGGGGAGGCATAGGGGGAGGCGGAGAGTAAATGTATTATATCATCCAGTATGCATACCACATACCTTGTGCCTACTTAGGAATTCATTTTTACACCGAATAAGATCCTTCAGGTATTTTAATAATCTAGTGCTGTGTGAGCCATGATTGATGAGTATTTCACAGATGGCAAAGAACACGTGGGAACTAGAAAATGTAATTCAATATAACAGCATATGGTAAATAACAAGTACTAGTCCATTGTTTTCTGCATTCAAATCGTGGTTCTTTTTCGTCGCCTATACAGGGTTATATAGTGAAGACAGACGGGGCCTACGGTTTTAAGTCCTTGTCCGAGAAGACTTGAAGGTCTAACCATTTGCAGATGTAATTACAAAGGCAGCACCTTCTCCTCAGTTATTTTAAGACCCTGAGTGTTGGTCCGGCCGAGGCTTGAGCCACGACCTCCCGCACAACAGACCGACGCTCTTACCAACTGAGCTAACCGGGTGGCGGTAATATTTATTCATATGGCACAAATCCAAAATGGAGTTTTTAAATGCGATTTCCAAAATAGCTAATCCAATTGAGATGCACAGTGAAGACAAGTCACGTGATCATACCACACCATATTAGGACAAAATACCTTCCACTGTTAAGAGACTTAAGGTGAGAATGATCACGTGGTCTCTCTGGTCACATGATAAAGTTTGAATAGTTAGGTCAACAGAAGTGGGAAAGAGATCATCCAATAAACGCCGAGATACTGACAATCCATTCAACTTATCTGTGTGCAGAACAGTTTCAATAGTGCACTTAATTACCTAATCTCCCAGAAAGTGGCTAAAGGTGCTACAGGATTCCACATTTCGACGATTTCTGCTTGGAAGAAGCGATATAGTGTCTGAAACCAAGTCATTCAAGTTAGTAATCAATGCTTTGCATATCAGAGTCAAATGAAATTCACTTTAAAGACAATGACTATGCAAACATCACGACACAGTCACGTTACGAAAATGATGACGTCACCGTCACGGTACGGTTCAAATCTTACGTACAATTTTCAAAGTCAAACTAGACGCATATCTGCGTGAACTCGGGCTTCATAGCAGAAAATCGAAAGAATTCTTCGTGAACACTGTCATCCTTCTGACGAAACCTTGAAAAATTCCTCCATTGCTCGACCATGTGCTTATGCTTATGGCGCATACTACGCACGCGCATAGAACTTGCCATGCGCTTTGAACGCAACTGTGATTTGTGACAGAACGCAAATAAAGCCCAATTTATACCTAGGGCATTTCTTTGAAAGCCCGAGTAAAAAGAAATTGCTTTATTTTTGAATTGCACATACCTTGGCAGCTTCTTCTCTGATATCAAAACACGAGGACTTTTTGAGGACAAGATCAACAAGACCCATGATGATTTGTGACGAGCTCTTCTGGATTTCCCAACCAGGTGTGTCTTGGTTCTGAAATCAACCAAATCCTTACTAAATTGCGGCAACAATAACAAGAAGCCTTGATTGAAAATAGATCATTTCAATACGGGGATTTCTTTTTCCTCTTTTTGGCATGCATTTTTCCCTGACTAATAAGTAGGCATGGAAAGGAAGGCGAGGTGTCGGGGAATGAATGGAGAATAGAACGGAAAGGGACGAGAGGAATCGGAAACTTAACGGGATTAGGAATTATGGGAAAACGGAGAGGAAAGAAATACAGAGGTAGAAAAGGACGAGAGGGAAGGGAAGGGAAGGGAAGGGAAATGATGGACCTTTATCACGCGGCAGCAACGCTAAATGGAACAATAGATTTCCCACGCGTGGCCTCGCATTCAAGCGCTCCAGGATGAGGTTGCGCATCGTTAAAAAAAGGTTTTATTTCTTATGGTGTTGTGTGAGAAGGGTCCATCTAATCTTGTTACAAAAGCTACAAAACCATGAATAGAGCTAATCCACTGTTTTCCCATTTCAGGCCACGTGTCATTCCCTAGAGTACCATTTCTTTGTTTAACGGTTGCACGCGAGAAGACACATTAATATGGATACAACTCAAACAAAAAATGTTACTCTTAAGAGAATGGCAGTGGTCTGAAATGGGAAAGCAGTGGATTAGGTACATTGGTCATCCTGTGGTAGGATTTGACTTACGTGGAAAGCAAAAACAGGATCAGCGTAGAACAACCTAACCAGACACAATAACAACTCTTTGTCTCTTCTTCCTGCGGGCATGTCATCCGACTCTCGATGACCTCTTTTGTGAATCTCTTTCACTTTATAAATCTGAAAAGAACCAAACATAGATTCATACGATGGCACGCAAAATTCCATAGCATACTACTTATATACAACAGTCCATTTTATATTTGGTAAACAAGAGATGGGGATGTGTATGATAATAGACCTAAACCACTGTTTTCCCATTTCACAACACGTGTCATTCCCTAGAGTATCATTTCTTTGTTTAAGGTTTGCGCTCGGTTGCACATGAGAAGACACATGAATATGGATACAACTCAAACAAAGAATCTTATTCTCAATGAAATGACACATGGTCTGAAATGGGCAAAACATTACGCCTTATTTCTCTTATTACCTCATTTCTCTTCCCTCCTCTCCAATCCCCCTCCTTTCTCCCCAAAGCGCTGCTACGCAGGCTATATGAAAATGCGCATTGGTGAACAGGAATCGTGAGGGATAGGGATAGGGAAGGAGGGGCAATGGAAGACACGATGGCTATGAGGGAAGCAGGAAGTGCGACATAAAGAGATTATATAACTAGGATTCTTTGGTGGGAACTGAATGAAATAAGATATACAGAGCTCCTATTTATGCTAGCTGCTAGTGAATGTCGCGAGTAGAAGCAAATATATGCCATATAAAGCACCGTTTGGACAGTAATTGGACAGTAGGACTACAAACGTTACGTAAACGCCGCTCCTCTAATAACACACAGCTACCACTGCGTAATATCACGCTCCTACCTGACTTAGTCTCGATTGCTGTGCCTCTTGCTCAGCAGTTCGTATTTTATTCAGAACGTGCTGTAAAAACATTAAGCAAGGAAAGAAGATTAGGTTGGTAAAAAGTGTAATAGGATATTAAAGAAAATAAAGTCACGCCGTACCAAGAATATTGCACGGATCTGCTGTGATTTAGGGTACAGTACGTCTGCTTTAGGCCACCAACCAAGAGCAGCCTGCAAATAGAATGAAAACGCATGATTACTATTATTATCATGACCATCATCATCATCATCATCATTATTTACTACTACTAGTATCATCATCATCATCACCATCACATCATCATCCCCACCACCATCATCATCATCATATCATCGTCATCATCATCATTATTATCATTATTATCATTATTATTGATAAAAACACATACAGTGATTACCAAGAAAAGATAAATCAACTAAACAATTTGCCCTGGTTTTGCAAGAGGGTAACACTAAATCTATATAATTCAATATATATAATATAATATATAACTTTGTAAAACCGTCAAACAACCTCTGGTTTGACGCGACCAAGTCAGTAGGTGAAAAAATTGACTCCACTGAGTTAGAAGGGAAAAGAGGGACTGTCAACAGTCTAGGTTGAGTACGTCTAGCTCACAGTACGAATTAGAATTTAGCGTGCTGGGTATGGTGAAGGAAGGCGAGAACAGGAGAACCCAGAGAAAAACCCTTGGGGTTGCAGGTTAAGGGTTTGTTAGCCACTGACTAATAGACCTCCTCTGCTCTGGAGCGCTCGAGCGTAATGTTGTCCCATTTCAGACCACGTGTCATTACCTTGAGAATAATATTCTTTGTTTGAGTTGTATCAATATTCATGTGTCTTCTCATGTGCAACCGAGCGCAATCCTTAAAAAAAGAAATGATACTCTAGGGAATGACACGTGGTCTGAAATGGGACAACATTACATCAGAGCCGAGGAGGTCTATTAGCAAGGTAGAGGAATGCCTACCTCAGTAACGATAAGATAGATACTCTTTACAGACACTAGGTTGAATATAACAGGCGAAGTGGTCAAGAGACACGGTTCAAAGTGTTGAATATTTCTATAATTGTTCCTGAAGCTGGATACAAAACAGTCCACCATCAGATCTTCTGTGGAGGTAATACTACCAGAACCAAGGCTGAACGGTTTGTTGAGGTTGAAGAGTAAAGCCTGTAAAATATAGCGGGAAATATAGTAGTTTGTAGTTAAAATCAGAACAAAGCAGCGCTTGTGTCAAATCCTCAAAAAATATTTAATGAATGCAACTTGAAATGCGTGCACATGTCTCTATACTGTGATAAAAACACTCTAAGCACTGTAGAGCATGAGAAGAACCTTAGAAACACGACGTAGTTTGAGATATAACGTGCACGCTGATTGGTTGGCCACAATGATTACGTCAGAGTTAGTATGGTCTTATCTAATGCAATTTTCAAGAACTTTTTTCCAAAAATAAGCAGGTATAATAATAAAATCAAGGGAAACATGTCCCAAAATTGAGGCTGAAGTTAAAAAAAAACAACCCAGAGCCTCGATTTGGTTACATTGTCCCGTCTTCAGGGTTCCTTACAAACCTTGAGTTCATTAAGGATGGTTAATACGAGGAAACAAAGAACAGAGTTATCCTCAGGCCGCATGTAGCTTGCTGCTTTACATAACTTGACAGAGGAGACTGCAGCACTCTCGCTCAGGGTCTTCGTGCTGGTTAATGCCTTCTTTAGGTTGTCTAAAAACTCTTTCTGTTGATAGAAAGGCAAAATAACTTTATATACCAATAATGTTTTCCTATTTCAGAACATGTGTCATTCTCTTGTGAATAAGATTCATGTGTCGTCTCATGCACAACCTAGGTGCAATAATTATTGCAATACTAGTTAGACAGTGCTAAAAGATAAAGCTATTTTTTTACTTTGATACCGCGGGGAGTGGTTGCTTAATTCTCCCGAGCTAGGGGCTTATGTGTAAAGGTGCGCCCTTTATCCCTGTCAGACTATTAGTGCTCCTTATTACGGGTATTTAAAGCTGAAGCTACACAGAACAGAGAGAAGTCGAAACAGATGTGGAGATCCTGAGGATCGAACTGTGGACCTCTACACTGTAGATCTGATGCCCGTGCACCAACTGAGCTACACCTGCTCCTGCAATTGGCATCAATAGGCAAACAATAGGCTCCAATAGGCAAACAAATACAGTTCTCATGAGTATGTTACTGGGATGAGACATACATACACTGTAAGGAAACTAGCTCACAAAAAGATGCTTTACCTTGTTGACTTTGTAACTGTCTGTGACGGTTTCCGATGTAGCGATTTCTTGCAAAAGAGTCTAAAATAAACAAAAAAAACTTTTATTTGATTGTCGTATAATTAGATTTCGTGTGTGACTGCATTACATCTTTTAATCCAATACCCACAAGCAAGATCATCACTAAAGCAGCTTAAATTTTTGTACATTATTGGGCACCGTCACGGTCAGGGCCGTACAAAATCTGCTCTTAACAGTGACTTTGCGCGCTGGGTTTTTGGTTCAAAGAATATGTCGTTCCTCATACTATCAATACCAAAGAATACCAAAATTTTGCTTATCTTTCCTAAGCTAAATGCCGCAAAATATGAGTTTCTTCAAGAGAGCATAAATAACTCTTTTTTATGCTCTCTTGGTTTCTTCCCATATTTTGTACGGCCCAATCAGAACGCATCAATAGAGCTTATTACCACGTGTCATTCTCTTGAGAATAAGATTATCTGTTTGAGTTGTATCCATATTCATGTGCCTTCTCATACACAACCGTTAAACACAGAAATATTACTCAAGGGAACGACACGTGGTCTGAAATGGGAAAACACTGCACCAAGATGAATAAGGTTTGTTGGGAAGCCATTTTATGAGTGACTCAAACAACTTACAGGACAAAGAATAAGCAACATGGTCTGCAATGGCCAGACAGCAGCTTTTCTCTTCGAGTTTTCGGCAAAGTTGTCAACAAGATCGAAAAGCCTCTCTGCAAAATCTGTAAATACAAGAAAAATTAGTACACTAAATACAATAGACCCCTCTCAAATTAATCTTGCATGCCAGACTTATGGGAAAATACAAATAAAGAAATCACACTTTTTTCGATGGAATTTGTACCAGGGGTGGCGGAAGTTGAAAATCTTTGGGGGGGGGGGGGCACTGGAAAAAATCACAACAATAGCTTAATAACAGTATTAAAAATCGAATCTATGCATTTATATTTCATGTGAACCAACATTTTGTGGGGGGGCCAGGCCCGTGCCCCCCCGGATCCGCCACTCCTGTGTACCATTAATTTTGTATTTGTCATTTAGGCTCACATTCAAAATAACTTTGAAACCTGTCTATGGAAAAAAGATCTCTTCAAACTTGAAAATTCCACTATCTTCATGGATTTAGACTCAAATACTTAAGGTTTAGTCTCATTACAGCGGCAAAACAAACCAATGGTATTTATCAAATACTTTCACAGATCTTCTCAAGAATACATGAATATATAACACAAAATCAACTAGTTTAACCCTGAGCAACAGAGAATTGCGCTGCCTTCATTATCAGGGACCGTGGAGCATATTGAAAAGTGGAGGGGGGAGGTTTGGAAATTAAGCATATTCAAAAAAGAAAAATAGCTATAAAAAGATAGTAAACGTTTTTCCTTTATCGTATTTTTGGCGCAAAAAATTGGGGAAGCTGCAGCCATGGTAGGTTTAAATGCAGGAGTAGAAAAGCTTACCTGAAAGCTCTCTTGATGGTTGTCTTTGTAGCTCAGCAAATTCTTCAGGAGTGTTTTCAACCCAGTTCCAAATAGCCTGATAACAAACAAACAGAAGCTTTGTAATCATTGTCATTGTTTTTTAATATTATTATTATTAACACTGTTTTATTATTAAACTAGGAATTCATGGGAAATAGCAAACTGGAAGAAACTACATAAAATCCTGTAGTGATAAAAGGGTAAATTATACACCGTGAAAAGATGAAAAAACCTACTAACATTTTGGACGCTAGTCCTTCGTCAAAGTAAAAAGCTTTTACTTTTTTTCCGATCTTTTCACGGTGTATAATTTACCCTCTTATCATTACTGTTTGATTAGAAACACCGACGTAGCTCTCACTAGTTTTTAGCTAGTTATCTAGCTACATAAAATCTTGGTGGGCCATACATTTGAAAGAAAAGAAAAGAAATCAAACTTACTTTATCAAGACCAGCAACAAATGCAAGTTGGCCTGGCTTCTTTAGATTTTTGAACACCTTGATTCCCTCTACATATGGAAAATAATCCCCCAAAAAAATGTACTTGAAATGAATAACGAGGTGCTTTTTTAAAAAGTATTAATGCATGCAGAATGGTCATTAACTGCAACTACTATTTGCCGAACGTACAGTATTATACAAATTCTCTTTCTCTTTGAAAGATACTTACACCCTCCATCCATATTCCCTCCTCCTCTTCCTCTCTTCCTCCTCTCCTTCTTGTCCCCCTTCTAGCTCCCTCCCTTCTTCCCCTTCATATTTTCTCCCTTTCTTTCTTTCTTCCTTTCATCCTTCTTTCTTTCCTCCTTTCCATCTCCCTTCCTTCTTCCTTCCTTCCTTCCTATCTCTCTCCATCCATCTTCGTTCCTTCCCTATCCCCTTCCCTTCCATCCTTCCATCCTTCCCTTCCTCCCTCCTTCCATACTGCCCACCTTTCTTCCTTCCTTCCCTTCCTCTCTCCATCCCACTTCCTATCTTTCTTTCTTCCCTTCCCGTCCTCCTTCCCTCCATCCCATTTCCTCTCTTCCTTCCTTCCCGTCTTCCTTTCTTTTCCTTTTTCATACCTTGAAGAAGAATTTTCAGTGAAGAACTGGTGACATTTAGGTGTTTAATCAGCTCCAGATCACCAGTATCAGAATTGTCTTCAGAATTTGCTAACACATGAAGTCTGACAAATAGACAGAAATTAATATAAATTAAGGTGTTTAATGAAGCAAAACAATGGACTTTTCCCCTCTGGGAAATGCAATCTCTTTTTATGAAAACACGTTTCGTTCTTTGCATACAAAATGGCTGCTGTAAAAGCCTTTTAAATGAACAAAGAAGAATAGGAAAGAGTAAAGATGTCATGAAAAACATGACTCGTTGTAGCAGGAATTGAAATACAATCTAAAGATATATAAAGCATTCTCATATTACAGGCTCTTGAAATGCATTAAAGATTCAGCAAAAGTACCTTATCGCAATACGATTAAAGAGCACAGAAAAATGGTACTTGCTGATGTGAGAAAGTATTTTGGCAGCCTCGTCCTTCTGCTCTGCTTCATATGGGATACCACTAGCTTGTGTGACAAACTGTACAATAAGAATATGAGATAACTTAGATTTAATATACTTTGTTCGTTGTAACATTCTTTTACTGGAAGACATGTACAAACTCTGCTTGTTAAGAGCTGTATCTATGGCAAAATCAAATAGAAAAAATAAACCTGAGGGCCTCAAATCTTTTGATGTAATATGTAAGGTGCACATTTGACAAGCATTAGAAGCACCTGTTATACTTGCCTGGCAAATACTTGGTAAAAGAATTTTTAGAAGAACTTCATCTGGTAATGCAGCACATTGCTGAGGATTCTAGAAGCAATGGCAATGGAATGCAAGTTAATGATTGATTGATTGACTGGCTATCTGTCTGACTAACAGACTGAAAGAATGGTTGAATGGCTGATATACTGACATACTGACTGACACACTGATACACTAACACATTAACACACTGGCACACTGGCACACTGACACACTGGTGCACTGGCGCACTGGCGCACTGGCCCACTGACTGACTCAAGAAAAGAATAATGGAATGAATGAATAAATCAATTAGTGAATACTGAATACTGAATAGGATAGGACTGAATTATTTTAAAATCCCAATAGCTTTGTGTGTACCTTTTCGAAACATTTCACAAGTGTTTTCATTATGATCACATTGGATTCTGAAGCAAGTTGTATTCTATTTGAGCTCATAGCAGACTGCAACAAAAAAAACAAAAGGGGTATCAAAGTTTATGAACACCTTCTTCAATAACTATTGAGCACCCTCAAAAGTGGGGGATCTTGTATGCTGTATAAAGCATGTAATGGGCAGTTCAACCAGGATAACATGCACTGGACAAAGGACTTTGTCAAACTTGTTTCCTGCCAATATTATAGCAACCCAAAAATGGGTTGCTGAATTATACTCGAAAATTTAGCACACACTAAAGAAATATACAACGTTATTGGCGGGAAAAGTAAATGGAAATGCTGCAAGAGAAACAAGTCAACCTCTTGTAACTGTAATTTACACTTTTTTTCACTTGCTTTGCTTATGACTCTGTGAGTCTCAGAGAGGTCAGCTTGGAGCACATCTAGATATTTGGTGTTTAATACTTACCAGGAACTGCGGTTCTTTAATCATTCTTGCCAGCCCAGACACCACACTAATGAACTTGTGGTCACTAATATGCACCAGACAGTCACTAATCTGCTCTCTGCTTTCATTGCCGCTCTTTGGTAAAGGCCCTTCCAATGGTAACTGAAATTATTAACCATTTTATAGAATTGAAAGTTTTATAATGTGGCTTTATAGAGTTTACTGTGCTTGAAGGTGAGCATGCACAATACCGCAATTTCAAGAATTCTATTTTGATGATATTGCAAAAAGGCCTCTCACACGCTACTATTTTTCCATCAATAATTCAAAAACTGTACAGTAAAAAAATTTAATATTTGTAGAGATCTTCTATCATACAAAGTTAAAGTTATTGGCAAAATGTGAACAAATTCCACACAATGGAAAACACTTTATTCAGGAAAATCTAAATCTTATTTTTTGATTCTGTAGTACCAACTCTTTCACTTTCTTGTCATATAAAAGATAATCTAATAAATTTAGATTAAAGTTTTAAAAAATTACCCTGGCAAACTAGAGTTTTTAATTTTTTAATTAAAAAATTACCTTCTTTATGGCTGATGTGTGTTGCTATGGCTATATTGTATGTGATCAAATTCATTTTGAGAATTAACCCTTAACTTATGGACTTTAATATGGTTCATGGCCTATCAGGTATCAACGTGTTGTCTGTATTAAACCAAATAATGCTGTTTATTTCTGCCTATGAAGCCACCTTAAGTAGTAGTAGTAAATAAATAAAAATAAATAAATAAATGGGATTTGGCAGTGGCATTTCTACAGAGTAGCTATTCATCCACTGTAATTCCAATTGGAATTTAGAAGTTGATTTTTAGTAGTAGTAGTAGTAATAATAATAATAATAATAATAATAATAATAATGATAATAATCTTTATTCATACAGTGCTTAACTCCCATACTTGACCATAGCTCTAATGAACTTACAGCATGATTGACAGTATTTGGTCTTTTCAAATCTTGTCACCATTAATTAATTATTGGTACCATAAATAGATTTCAGACAAAAATAAATTACTATACTGTAGACACAACAATGCATTCTTTAGAGAATTAATGCATCATTTAAAGATGCTGATTAAAGATGAATGGGCTTCCTGTGTTGAATCAAGGAAGTGAAACAGAGAACAACTGAAAGGAATAAAGGGTAGAAAAATCCCAATAAAATTGAAAAAGTGGACATACATAATAAAATAGAACAGGAAAAAAATATGAAAGAATTTTAGAAGAAAAACTAATATTTGTTCCAACGATGAACAATCCTTGCCTTAACATATTGACAGTGTCAAGCACAAGTGACGTACAAGTATTTTTGTATATCAGCATTAATAACTTGAGAATAAGCACTCTTTATTATTTTTATTGAATAACATTTTGTCTAAAAAAATGTTAGATAATGCTGTTTGTCCAAAGGAACTGAATGAATTTGAAGTATGATCTTAAAAATTTGGCAAATTTAATATTCAATATTGACCAAATTTTAGGTCTATTTTTATWAAGAAATAATCTTTTAATATTCATTATAAATTGATCTTTACGAAGAAAAATATAAGTATTACAAGAAATTTACTAATACAATACTAAAAATATTAATTTAACCTATGATGTCTAGMTGATAGATTATACAAATAGATGATGCACATAAATGCAAACATTCATGTATCGATGCACACTTATTTATAAACAAGTTCTAACCTGAAATACCTATATATTTTTGTAATCTTTTATTGTTTTATTAAGCACTGAAACGGGCCTGCCTGCTTACCACTCTAAAACAAAAATTACAAGCTGAAACCATTCACAAATGCATGGGTTACACATTTCAGTCCTTCGAAATATTTAGAAATCAATTTTAAAATTTCACTTTGGTATAAAGTGGGTTGAGTGGAKAAAAAAATCAAACGACATGTATATTTATCATTCAACATAATCAAATTACAATCAAAACAATACGCAAATGACAAAAGTAAATAGTTAATGAAGTAGCATAAAAAGAAAGTTAGGATATTAATTAAAAGAATTTTTTAATTCTCTGAAACTGTACGAATTCAATAAAATTTAAAGGAAATTGGAATGGATTAATGGGTTACGAACTCACGAAATCCATCAATGAAAATTTGACCTTTGAATCTTCCCAAGCATATTTTATCAGAAAAAACAAAAAACACTAGTTTTTTTTTACTCTAAAGGGCTGTTTTAAATACAAGGTAGTTGTATAGAATTTATTAAATATGTAATTAGATATTTTATGTGAAAGAATTCGAATCTACAGTAAGCCACAGACGTGGTCAAATTAAAATTAACACACAATGTAAATTTACCTTAATATTTTATGTTGTAAGACAAGGACTTGAATTTCAAACTTAGTAGAATAACATTAGATAGAATAAAGTGCCTAGGAATGTTTTTTATTCGACATAAAAATAATTTATTGTTGTGTTTAACATAGAAAACGAATTAGCTGTACACAAGTCGAGTCCAATTCAATGACTGATGTTGTTTCATAATAACAATACCAGTTGATTATAATTTACTTCTAGACCTAAATACGAAGGAGGCTTTAGCTTAACGTGGAAAACTTGCTGTGATATTCATTCGGGGTTAATTTAATATCGCTTAGTCATCAAAGATTAGCCATCATTGAATTAAAAAATAAAGAATCGCGCGGGTAGAGCAAAAATGAGCAGCCAACTACATGGTGTAGGTACGTGTTGGCGTTCAACTCAAACACCTTCAGTATAATAGTCATAAAATGCGGGGTAATTTGAGTGAATTCAGTTCTCCAACGACCGACAAAGCTCATTCAGAGCAGAATACGATGTACTAGGATAGTCTGAGGAGCAATAATTTCAAGAGAGATGAGAATAATTCAGTTAATTCCGACATACGAAGGAGCTATGTTGCTCCATTTTTACCTGTTGCTGGAAGCGGCGCAACACCAGCACAACCCATTCATCTGGCTTAGTCTCTCGAGGCATCCTTATTCTCTACATTTCTGGTCTTAATTTAAAGTTGTGTTGCCATAGTGCAAGATTCAGACTTCAGGCCGGTGAGCCCATTTCTGAAGTAGAAGAAGACAAACGTTCAACATCTCTCCATCATATCGGAAGTGAGATGGAGTAATCTGCATAATAAATAGCTTCTTTATCCATATATGGCGGCCCCGTCACACCCCCACTCACACTACATTTTTGAAAATCTATCCAAGTTCCTAAGAAAAACTTACAAAATTGTTATCGTAGAATTCGAAGAACTTTAGGAAAACGCTTTTTCATGATTTAGTTTCTATTAGCCTATTGATTTTTAATCATTGGGGTGTTCACACGAAATGACGAAATTAAAAAAAAAAAGAAAAGAAAAAAGAAAAAAAAAAAGCGAAAAGAAAAAAGTTAATAGAAGCTCGAAAATAAACAACTACTTATTTCATCGCAGAGTTTACTACTGCAAACTGAAACCTTTTGAGCTCTTTACTAGTATTTTTATAAATTTGTGAACGTTTGAGTTTATATTTATAACACGTGATTCAGATAAAATGGAAAATGAAACCTCTTTCCTTTGGCACATTTTGTCTTTCGAATGACAGCTTTCCACAAGCTGAATGAACCGTTTTCTAGCATATTACTGGTATGTTTTCCCTTTACTTTCTTTTACATTCTCGTTTCTTTTGTTTCATTGCCATTTCTCTTTTTTTTCTTAGAGGTAAGCGCGAGAGCCTGGGCGTCGGTCCACAACTTAATCCAAAATGGCGTCTCCCAAGAAGCAGCAACCATATTATATGACCACAGATGAATTTGGTGAAAGACTTTACCAAAAATACCTACAAGTGATCGAAGTTGATCACAGGGATAAACTTGAGTTAGAAATGATAAACTTTAACATTTGCATTAAGTTCAAGGAAAACAAGACCATCAAAATCAATCTTGGTCATCTTTACAAGAAGTGTTTCGTGGACTATTATGGCAAAATATCACCTGAAAGGATCGAGTCATTGATCGATGAATTTGTAAAGAACTCGTTAACTGGACTTAAGGGTAAAATTCCTTTAATAACTGGCCCCGATACTGGCTTTTCAAAAATAAGGAATACTATTTTTCCGGTCGTTAAAGCAAAACGTTTGGTGGATAACTACAACAAGATTGGTTGTGCCAAGTCTGCAGAAAATAAGATAGCGTTCTTTCCTTTTCGCTCTCTTCCTGGCATCGGCGTTTCTTTAGCAACTATGGAAGGCCCTTTAATTGAATTCGTTAATAGAAGTATGATTCAATGTTGGAGCAAAGATCCAAAGGCTGAAATGGCATTTCAAGCTTACATGAGAAGAGAAGAAGAGCAGTTAAACCTGATTCTTGATCTCGATGCTAGTAACAAGGACATCTTACAGGAAGAAATCGCCTTGCTGCGGATAGCTAAAGAGAACTATACTAACTTGATTAACAAGAAATACAAAAAAGGCTCAAACATGTGGTATAAGTTTCCTAGTAATGCCTTTAAGGCTGAAATGGTTGGAGAGGAGTACTCCAACTTATCTGGGTCCTTGCTTTTGCTCCCAGAATTGATAATTGAAAGTCGACTAAATGTAAAAGGTGACACTATTGCCGTAGCCGCAGAAGAAAGTACATTATTTATAGGTGGAGCACAAGACCCATTAGCCTTGTGCTTCATCGGTGACTTGGCTGTGGATTCGAAGGATGACCGCAATTCTATAACTGTTGATCCCCTGCGGTTAGTGAAAAGTGGAAATAATTTGTGGAAGTGGGTGCACTATGTGCCAAACATTGAAAAAATGGAATTTTCAGTTCCCGTAGACAGGGATCAAGTTACCATTATATTTAAGGCCATATCAACAGCTCCACCTAATGATTTGAACCGCCGTTATGTTCCTGTCTTTAAAAATTTACTAGCCCCATTGACACTAGAGTCACAAAAAAAGATAGTAGAAAATTTGGACGCCCAAAAGTTAGGGAAACCTCACTGTGTAGACATACCAATGTGTTGGTACTGTGGATCTGCAGACAAGAAATTAAAGCAGTGTGAAGGGTGTTTGCTGGCAAGGTATTGTGAAAGAAAGTGTCAGAAAGGTCATTGGAAGCTGCACAAGGTATTCTGTAAAAGCAGAACAGCTCAAAGGTCTAATAAATCTGGCCCTGCCTGAAAATGGTGGTGATAAAAAGCCATTAATAATACACTTGACAAAATTACTCGATTCTGATTGGACAAGAGGAGTACAATTAAATCCCAAATATTGTACTCTGTAGAGCTCCCAATTGAGTTGCTCAATTTTGTTGAGTGTATTATCTCTTTTTAAATCGTACAGTCTTCTTGTACGATTCTGAATTTATAGATACTCGTGAAGTTTTGAAAGTTCTCAAATTGGACTTGCCTAAAAACTCATCCAAATTTTGAAAACTTTCAAAACATCACTACTACCTTTAAATTCCTAAGGCCTAGGACAAGCGTCAAACTTTCCATGCACCAAACTCATTAAAAACAATGGATATCAGGTGATAATGAGGCGGCATTCTTTCATGTAATTAAGTTCGGTGCATGGAAAGTTCAACGTTTGCCCTAGGCCTAATTATAATCAAGATGGTGCAATGGGAGTGGACTGGAGTTTTTCATGCCCCTTTGTGATGTGGCTTTTCACTTTATTTTCAAAGATAAACTACGACAACTAACTAGATATTAGAAAAATATATATAATTTAAGAAAAGGAGAAGACCCTTCTACTAATAAGTTAACAATAAGAAAGGATGACCTTTGATAAAAGTCTTTTTTTTTCAATGACCCTCCCCAAAATGCAAAAAATATTGAATTAATTTGAATTAACTTATTAACTGATGTGTATGCTTACGTAAGCATGCAGTCACGAGGTAGGTATAGGATACAGTAGTCCGTTATGTACGATTGAACCGTTGGTCACAGTAGTATTTTTGGTGTATATAGACAAGAAAACTGAAAAAATCAAGCCAGCACATAACAGAACAGATAAGTAACAGTTTAAATAAGTTTTTACAATAACTTACAAAGTTCTCGCGCGCTGATTGGTTATTTTTTATCATCAATAAGAGGACAGACAGATAAAGCTGACGTCAACGAGCGCTCGCTCTTTCCGTTGGTTGTTTTGATCGCTAAAAATGAGAAGTTTTTATCGTTTTTGTTATTGTAAAAAACAAATTGACATCAGTTTTTTATGTGTCTGTCCTCTTATTGACGATAAATTTCGTCATCACATTGTCAAAGTAGTATGCGGATCCACTCGGCTACGCCTCGTGAATCCACACTACTTTGACAATGTGATGACGCAATTTATCGTCAATAAGAGGACAGACACATAAAAAACTGATGTCTATTTGTTAATTTAACGGCTAAAAAAACACCAGTATAACAGAATCTTAACAGCTAAAAAACCACCAATTTTTTCCCTAGCACCCTTGTCTTGTGCAACCATTTCCTGGTATACCCACGTTACAACTCAATTAGACCTCTTTACCTTGGGCATAATGTTTTTCCATTTCAGACCACGTCATACCCTAGAGTATCATTTCTTTGTTTAATGGTTGAGCATGAGAAGACACATGAATATGTATATGCACAACTCAAACAAACGATCTTATTTCCAAGAGAAAGACACATGCAGTCTGAAATGGGAAAACATTTCACCCAAGGTAAAGAGGTCTATTGGGATACTAAACATTGTGTTTGGGGTGCCAATTTATATTTAGAAAGCCCTCTTCAACGTGATTGAAGTGAGTCATGGGACACACTTGGGTCCCAAGCATTGTGTTGTTGTTGTTAATATTTAGGAAGCCCTTGTCAACACGAGTGAAGTGAGTCCTGGGACACATCTGTGACCCTTATTGCAGTTGAGCCCACAGCCTTGTGGTATCCTAAATGCAGGTACATGGTAGTAAGATTATTGAGTCATTCTTGAAATGAATTTTAAGACAAATTATGTAAGATACATGGAATTTCGAACAGGAGCTGCAAATAGTGCTATGAAAAAATATATATATACAAAGCTTTTCGCTGTCATATCACAGCATGGGACAATCACAACAGAGCTAGGCTCCAAACTAAGTGAAAGATCGAATTAGAATTTAGAAGTTGATTTTTGAGGAGGGAGGAAAACCGGAGAACCCGGAGAAAAAACCTCAAAGCACAGGAGAGAACCAACAAACAACTCTACTCACATACGACATCGAGATCGGCAGGACTCGAACTTGGGCCACATTGGTGAGAGGCAGCGCATTAGCAGCACATACCACCAGTGCTTCCCACTATAGCATATCTTACATAGTTTTTCATGAAATTTATCATCTTGACCCAAAAACCTCACTTCAGTTTGCACTCATTTAGGGAACCCCTGGGCCACTGGGTCAAGTGCAATAAAAACTATGAAATTAATTCTTTGGTCATATTTTGTCAAAATTGTAGGATTTCTGAGTGCTGACTGAACTTGATACAGCAACCACATGATAATATAGTGCAAACCATATGAAATAGAATGCAAACACTAAAAGTGTGCAACATAATATCACTAAATAGTGCTGTATTATGCTAATTCTATTGTTTTCTTTTGTTTAATTAGTGCTATTTACTACTAAATAGTGATAACTATTGAACACATTGAGTGTTTGTAGTCTAGTACTAGCTTATTAGTACAAAATAGCACCAACGAAACAGTTGAAAACGAAAGAAATAGTTGTGTTTAGTGCTATTTAGTTTCTGTGCTATTTCATGGATATATGGTTTGCACTCTACTGTAACTGTTGTGAAAAAATACAAATAGGGCCTGTAGCAAAGGAGGGTCTATGTTGTGACTTGTTTTGTGTCCACTGTTCATTAGCTTGATTATGAAACAGTCTCAAAACCACAATAGCATGTGTGTGGTGTGGGTTGTCGTGGGTTCCAACATTTAGATTTTCTCATGATTGATTTAGTAGATCTACTTCCTTGATCAATCCTGAATGTTACCCAATTTGTAGTCTAAAAGATTAGTATTATCTAATTTAAATGCTTTTTATTATTATTTTAGCAATAAGTTTAGTAACAGATATTTATTTTAGAAATTTAGATGTTTAAACATATATCAGACGAGGTTGAGCATATCATGAGTTTTTATGACCAAGGCTGTGTCATCTGATAATTTGCGATTGATCTTGATAGGTTACGATACCATGCGAAAGCCGTAAACTAAGGATAAAGGTTTTATTTTTTATTTTTTGGAAAATAGCAAACATTACAACCTCCTGTTGCGACCTAGGGTGAACTCTAAATGATTATCTATAATCTGTTTTTCTGTAGATAATACATTTTTATATCAAGTTCACAGGATACCAGCTATTGGTTTATGGCTCTTGGCCAGTAAGAAGTAGGATATCGAGTAACATATGTAAATATATTACTAATTCAATTTATAAACGATTTATTGTGCAGGGAGTGGTAATGTGAGCAACAATTGTTGTGCAAATGTGTGGAAAGTATTTTTGTTCTTTATGGGGCATAACAGTGAGAGCGGTCACCTCTCACCACTGCTACCCAGGCTCAATTCCCAAGACTTGTTGTCGTGAGTTATTTCTAGTTGATTTCCCCTGCAATTCTAGGAGTTTTCTCCAGTTTTCATCCCTCCACAAAAATCAACTTCTAAATAAGCCTGAAGCGAGATGACGTTTTACCCCCGACTCTATACCATAATAGTTTTTTTAAATTCTTTCATATTAAAATTTTTGATTCCTTATAGAATACTGGAACAGTAGTCATAATTAAAGAACAAAAGCAATGTGAAAAGGATTATGGTCTAGAGATGGGGGTAAAACATCATCTCACTTCAGGCTTATTCCAATTCAATCATGGAACACCGGCCACTAGTTTGTTGCCCATATTACCTCACCTTGAACATTTGTATATCTAATAATAATTATATAACAAAGCAAAAACTAAAATGTAGTCATATTTGTGTCAATCAAAATGTTTTTTATTAATAATATTTTAGTCTATCAATTTATTAAAACAACATGATTTTAACTAGTAAAGTATCTGAAAGATTTTAGCCTGTATGCAGCCAGACTTTACTCTTGAGTGAAAAGTTCAGCTGCAAGCAGGCTATATATTTTACTCTATCAATTTATTGAAACAACATGATTTTAACTAGTAAAGTATCTGAAAGATTTTAGCCTGCATACAGCCAGACTTTACTCTTGAGTGAAACGTTCAGCTGTACCCAGGCTATGAAGTGTTGATTTAAACTTGAAAGAGAAATTTATAACAAATTATAAAAAAAACTAATGTATTAATAATAAAAAATCCTTCAAACACCTCCAAGATATTCTGACATGTTATTTTTTTACCTTATCATCTCAGGGGGTGGAACTGTGTTATGAGACAAAATAGATTCCATCTTAAAAATATATCCCTTACAGCCATTCTCGATCACATGCGCCGCTCTAGTGATTGTTTCTGTCACGACGAAGAAGCTTTTGGTGGATGTCAATCAAGTCGTTTCCATGACATTCTATAGGCATGTGCCCTTATAGCTTTGTGTTTTTGAACAGCGTTATGGAAGCACCTTGTTATTGACGTCCACCAAAACCTTCACGACAAAAACCATCACTAGAGGGCGTGTGTGATCGAGAATGGCTTTAAAAGTCAGTCCCACAATGCACTACGATACCAATTTAACCTTTTTTCCTAAACCTCATAAAGCTTAAAAAGACAGGCTGATCTTGGGTCCCATAAGTACATAATTTATATATACTGATACAGTATTATCACAATGATGAGTAATTCTTTATCACCTGCTCTAAGCAAGCAAAGCTATCAACAAACTCATCTTCAGTTATCCCAAACTTTAAATACTGATGAACATATGCCCTTGAAGCAAACATGTTCCAAGCCTTTTCAACGACAGTATTTAATGATACGACAGGGGATTGGCTATTACTCAGCAACGTTGCTGACTTCTCATAGTTATTAAAGGGTCTTGGATGACACCTTAATGTTGATGAAGCAAGTGGAGGCATCCAGTCTACATAAAGGTTAGGATCTGTGAAAGCTGAAGGATCTGCTAAGTGAACATCTTTTCCTCTCATCACGATCATATTGGCAATAGACTTAGTAAACTTACTCGTCAGGGGTTGACTGGATGGAAGAAATGAATTGGTGCATTGAGAATCGGGAATTACTTGAGTAGGCAGTCGTACTTCCCAGTCAATTCCTAGCAAAGAAAAAAATTCTTTCTATAAACTTAAATATGAGAGGAAAGCTTTTGTCAGAGAATCTCCCTAATCCCTAATTTCTTCATGAAGTTTAATTTTCCAAAACTCTCTATAAAAAATTGAAACCTTAGGGACCTCTTATGATAATATGGGTTTGGGCTGAGGCTATGTGGATCTTTTCTGGGTTTTAAAACAACATCTAAACAGTACGATCCCCTTTAGAAATCAAATATTTTTCAAGCCTAGTCTCCCTTGTCGTTAGGTCATGTTTTGGAAATTGCACATCTAACTGCTCGGAAAAAATAGAAAGAAGTGTCAAAATCAAAAAAAATTTTCACCACCTCTCTTAGAGTTACTTATATTTTGATACAAAAAAATAAGTGTCATAGGCACTTTAAACATGTTAGCAATGCCAGATTAATACACCTCAAACCTACCTTCCTCCATATTGGCATCAGCAATCAACATTTGCCTAAGATGTTTAAGAAGTCCAGGCCAACTAAAGCAGCTGTATTCAAGTGACTTTTCAGCCATTTGAGGAATATTTCTTAGACTCAACAGCTTGTACTCTGGATGAGGGCATAATTGTTCCACAATTTCTCCCAATAAACTGGGCACAGACATGACTTTCTTAAAATATGCATCACTCTGTGAAGCACTGAAAATCTTAACTGGCTGTAAGATACTTCCAAGATTATGTGATATAAGCTTATTAATGTCTCTAAAAGATATGTTTTTTATATTCATTAATTTTGAACAGATTGTCTGTAGTTTGTCATTCTCCACAATAATTATACCATCTGAGGATTTGTAGAGCTGAGATAAAGTTAATATAGCATTGTAGTTCTGCACGATTACCTCTCCCATTCCAAATGGCCATACTACATGGTTCAAAATGAACGAATGAGGAAAAAAGTCTCTAAGAGAATTGGTCACAAAAGCTCCAACTCCAGATCCAGTTCCTCCAGCAAGGCTCAGAAGTGTCAAAAATCCATCAAAACGGTCGCACTTTTCTACTTCTCTKTGGACCATTTCTAAAATAGTATCCATAGACTTCGGTCCATGTTCACAGAAACCATGTGCCCAGTTATTTCCAGACCCTCTTTTTTGACTGAACTGTTGACCAGGTGGGTAGGACCATTTTCCAGATTTGTGCGCCTCTGCCATGGTTTGACTTATGACCTTTGATTCCATATCAATCGACACAGCTCTAGCATTCAAACTGTCGTCTTCTGTACGTGTGAAGAATCTTTCAATGGACTCTTCTTCGTACTCTGCACACGTTTTTCTGTCCATTGCCCTTGATATATAGCGAGGGTTGATGTGGCTCGCATCTTCGACCAAAAGGTTAAAAAGTTCACGTCCTATTTGATTTCCGCACTGCCCAAGTTGGAGAGTTACGATTGACATTGTCAAAAGGACAAGTTTTCTTTGCTATTTAGTTATATTTTTGTAACAAATTCGCATAATTCAGGCGTTTGACAAGATTACCAACAATCCGCCATTTTGAACTTCAAAATGTCCAGGCGTTACTTTCGCTTTCCCAGAAGGACCGCGCGATACCACAGGGTGACCAATCCAAGGCACTACTTTAGCGACATTTGTGTCTCGTTTGTCTTCTTCGCAATTAATCTTTCCACTTCAAAGAACTTAAAAAGATAACGCCCGTTGTTATCATATTTTCCCTTCCGCTTGCGCTGTTTTTCGCATCTTTTTAAGAGGTACTTTATGCTAGAGGCTAGCTATCACTTAGAAATGTCAAATGCTTATTACCTGACCCCCAAGGTTTATATATGTTTAAGACCTATGCTAGGGATACTGAGTTGCTTATCTTTTTCTTCCTTTCGTATTGAACTTATCAGTTTTACTCGCTTTCTTTTTCTGTTCCTCTTTTTTTCCCGTTTTTCTTTCTTTCTTTCTCCTTCTCTCCTCTTTATTTTCTGTCTCTCTCTCGTGCATCTCAGTAGTGTACACTCTTTCAAAGCAGAGAGCAAACGCATGAGATTTGGCGAGAAAAATTCACGACAATGCGGTAGAAATTCCCGATCACAAAAGGACATCGCGAGAACCCAGTCGCGCAAAATTTTTGTTGCTCCGACTCAAAATGAAATAATTTTTTTCGCACTTTCGACTTTCATATCAGAGAAGGTGAATGGATAAATAAAATTCAAAAATACATTTTTAGGAGGGTCATTGTTTGCTTTCCATATTCATCCTTCCTATGTTAAGTCTGCTGTGTGTCATAGATGAGGCTGTTTTATTCGTAACCGAATAGCCGTTAATAATTTTCAATTTTCAAATTCTTTTCTTCTCAGGATTCAAATTCGAGTACAATGTGGATATGCACTTAGAAATGCCAAGTGCGTTCTTAACATTATGTATTTGCTATATATCATAGATAATTGGCAAGGTTAATTAATACGATAAATTACAGTAATATCATATTTTGCCTTTCCCTTTCATTCTTGTTTTTTTTTTTTTTTTTTTTTTTATTTTTACGAAAAAGAAACTCGAACTTGTCGCAGTCCTACGACTTAATCATGAATTATCAAGAACCTAATATTTCAAAGATTATACTACATGGTATATATCTTCATAAGTAGGTAGCGTCATGGTACGTGAACTGCAATGATATTTTTAAGTACGTAACGGCCGGACAACACTTAGACGGCTTTGAAAACACATAAATCAAATCTAACCTTGAACAATTACCCGCTGAATCAAAATATTTTCATAAGGTACTCGATTTAAATTGTTTTCTTAGAACGTTCGGTCTTGTTTGTGGAATTTTATGGAGTGGTTTGAGCACCTGGACACCCCCACTCGCATTCTTGAGTTCCCACGATTGAGTCAACGTCTTCGTCATCTTTTTCGTCCGCAGTTTCCATTAAAAAAATTAAATCTTCCTTTCGTATTTCGTAGGGAACTGGCAAGCATGAAAATGTTCTTTGATGTTTTTCGATTTTTTTTGATAATCCGATTACCAGTGTGCATCCATATTATCAGATCGGCTTCACTTTTGGCTTCCAGAACAAGAGCACATGAAGCGAGGACACTCGGGCTCCCGCGAAACGTCCTTGCGACGGGTGTTTTCCTTATAATCATTTATCAATTCAAAATCAATGATTCCTGAAGTCAAGTTCACAAGTCAATTAACTTCACAGTGGAAATAGCTCTCAGTCTATGGTTCATTATTTTTAAAGCTTTTCCCAGTAAGCAAGTTTTATGAAATTTTAACGGCATATATATATATATATGGGTCAAAGAGTATTATACATATGATATGATACTGAGTCCGGGATACGAACCCGGATCGCTGTTTTTTAGGCTTTTTTGTAGCTCGGCTTTTTCATAATATTGCGAGATCTCTCCCGCGTGTCGCGTTAGAAGTGTTCAAGGACGCAATGATGCAGTCAGATAATGAGGGAATTCCCTCCATTGTCTTTTCTCTTAAACACACAACACTTCACAGTGTGTTGGAAAGTTTGGCGGTAGGTTTTGAGCCTCCATGCGTATATGAACGCATCCAAAGCGACTTTTAGAAACAACAGCAAATCCCTTACGCGAAGACAGATTGACAAATACATATGGCCGCGTACAGAGAAGGTACCGTAGAGGAAGACGTACTGTATAACCATATGTGGCAAGGCAGAAGCTAGGAGGATCCCTGCTAGGTAGATGGTTACAATAGTGAACTGCCGCTCTATGTTTTCTGCCTCCTTACGCGCTCTGTTTTCGTGGTCGTTTTTAGAACGACCTGCAAAACTTCTTTTTCTCTGGATTTCTTGTTGGAACGATTTATAGAGAAGAATAATCGTTATAAGAAGCACGGCTGAGATCAATGTCGGGTGCAGCACTAGGTCGGCTTTTAGGAAACTAATCAGGTCAATCTTGGCAAACTGAAGGAGAGAGAAACAAAAGAAGTACACCCAGCTTCCACATACGCACACTGTTACTCGTTTGCGAGTGATCAAGGTCGAATAACGATGTGGGAAGGCTACAGCAATGTACTGAGACCAAGACAAAGCTAGAACAATAAGGAAAGATGAGCTAATAGCCACAGTAGAAGCGAACTGACCAGCTCGATAAAGAAGCAGAACTCCTGGGCTGACTGTTCTTGAAGGGCTGATGTGGCGCGCGTAGTAATAGATGGCGAAAAACGGCTCCGTTGTTAGCCCGGTCAACAAATCGGCGACTGCTAGTCCTACGATAAACGGGGTTGTCGGCTTATTGAAGCACTTTAGAGGATCCATACGAATCAACATCAGAAGTAAGATGTTCGTTGGTATGGTTACGGCAGCAAGAAGGACGAGGAAAACCACGGAAGCCAGCTCAAATTTTAAATAAACTTCAATCAAAGCTTGAGTCGCAGCGTCGTGGTCCTTGGACGAGTTTGCAATTAAGGTGCTCATGTTCGTAAAAATACTCGAATCATTAATATCCTTCATTTTTAGTTTGGTAGGCTTTTGGTAGGCTGTCAAATGAAACTGCTTGAAACAAGAATTCAGTCTGGAAGGTTTTAGTGTGCAATTTCTCGGTCAGTTTTTTTTTCCACACGACCCAGTGAAAATCTATTGTTCTTGCTATAGGTCTCTAAATTTGCGACCCAAATTCAATTCTTTTTTGATTGTAGTCTTTGTCGTCGCTATTTACTTATTTTTGGTTCAGTGTTCAGTCAGAGCACGCATAGTTACTTGGGAGTATCGATGAACAGCCGCCTTTTTGATGTTCGATGACCAGCAGATGGAAACTCCTTGCTGTTTCACAGGACTTATCAGGAAAGCCATTCACACGGGACGATCTTAAACGGAAATATTAACAATATGATCCTATTCAGCTTCAAATTGCATGAATCTATATCCTACAAATCCTAAGACTTATCAAATTTATTACTTTTAGTAGCTATCACAGCTGAATCAAATGTTCTCTTGCTGGCTGACAGACTGACAGTTTGGCTACAAGACTGATGAGGATCTTACAAAGACTCGACGAAATGCCAACTTTCGTAATCAGGAGAACTAATTGGAACGTGCCAAAACGAAACCAAACAAAAAAAGGAAGAAAAAACAGAATTAAATCAATATTATTTCAACCGTAGATAGAGTCACCTTGCTTCCGTCAATGCCTCTTGAAACGTTCTTCTCTCTCTTAAAAAAATGAAAATTAAATATCTTACTAAGAAAGCGACGTCTTCAACTGAGCCCAGCATACAAATTCACCCGAGTTATCTTAACCTATCTTCTCTTTGAGGCGGAGCAGACTTACATCGATCAGAAAAGCCTTTTATAAATGACGATGATTTGTTCGTGATATATAGTAATAGCTTGAGTGTTTTCGTATTTACGGATCCGACAGAAAATGGGACTTTTTATCATCGTCCTCAAAAATCCGTCAGCTTTTTTTTTCCATGCTGGCATAATCCTAGCTAAAGATGCCAAAAATCGTTAATTGGCCATCACCTAATTGTGAAGTTTTTCACGGTCTTCGTTTTGAAAATTTCAATAACAAATAATTCAGATCTGTCTACTTTTTGTAACTCTCAATTGGACTTGGATAGAAGATATATTTTTTCAGTCAATTACCTTCATCCACTGACGCCAAGCTTGATAAGAGTTCTCATTGAACCAATGAAACGACGGAGCAATCTGTCCTAGGTAGCTCAGTAGTCTAAAAAATTGAAGAACCGCGCGTGTAGGATCGCTATTACGACGATTAAGATCGCAAAATGTGTGGTAAACGTGGTGGGATTCGACCCCACCACACACTCGGAACTCGAAGGTGATATTATTCTTCTTCAGTTGTAATCGTGGCCAGAATTATCGGCGGTATCTTTGTCTCGGTGCTCACGAACAACGTAAACCAACTACTAGGCTGATCAGTGATCGAACCTTTTTAAGGCTTCAAAGTTTTGGGGCACGTCATTTTAAAGCCGTCTTACAACATGCATTGCGCTCTCATTCTGTTGTTAATAATTGGAAATGGGGGAAATCAATGGTAATCTTCATGGTTTGTGATTATATTTATAAGCTTACTAAAATGAACAAACAAAGTAGCAAATAACGAAGTATACACATCCGGGATTGCCTCATGAATAGATATGTAAAAACGCCTTAAAAGCCAAACAGAACGGCGTTTTTCGAATATTCTGTACGGTATGCCGAACACTGAAAAAGCTTCCTGCTTCATATTTTCATGCACTTATGGGCTTCATCCAATCAAATCCGTTTTGAGTTACTATTACGGGAAAGAAAAAGAATATTCTCTGGGGGAAAGTCAACAACACACGATGAAAAAAGCTGTTGTATGACAATTATGAAAAACTGGAAAGATTGACTCCTTATAGCGATGTTATGACCATTTCATATTTCAAAGTATGTGTTTTTAGCCGAAAAAAAAACTAATTTTACTGACTGCAATTACATCGCACCTATCAGAATAGGGCGGCTTGTTACTTTGCAAAAAACAAAAAGTCATAAATCTAAATTGTTTTATTCTGGCTAAATTAATTAAAACCAGGTGTTTAATTGATGAACATTTCGATGAAAAAAAACATGGTTTTGTTTTCGCATCGATAGCGCTGATAACATTTATATTTTGTAAGGAAAGGTAAAATTTTTCTTCACAATCGTTATTATTTCGACCTTAATTCAAATGTCTTTGCTGTTTGCACTTTTTCTGATTAATTACATCGCTATTTGTACAACGCAAAAAAATATATGAATTCTAGCAAGCTGTAATTCCACTTTTTAATTCCGATTCTTCAAAATAACCGATGTATTACACCCGTTATAAGACTGCATAGACGTGAGAGATTTTCGAGATAAAATCTAGTCATGGTTTAAAAGGGGGAAAATTGGATACGAAATTTTGATATTTTTTTTCTCAAAAATTTGCTACTTCGTGAGATTCTGATTGACCGAAGGAACGGAGATCCCTTTCCAGATGAATTAATCCTAGCTTATCCTCTAAAAAGCCTTCATAAATGAAACTTAATCAAAATATAATTGATAAGAATATAAAGGCTTTGCCTAGAGGAAACTCAATTGATATTTTCGTGATTTTAATATAGTTTTGTCTGGCTAACCAAAGAACAATTCGTGAACAAACGAAATAAGATGTCCGAGGAAACACAGCGTGATGCCAAAACTAAATATCAAATATTATGAACACTTTCAAACAGCGCAGTTTGCTAGAGAATGTTTCTAGAACAGCACACCGAACAACAGCTACAACTTCCTTTTATTTGCTTTTAATCAATCATGTACAAAAAAGGCGGTCTTRTAACATTAGGCGGGCAAACAAACAGAGGTTGGAAGCCAAATATCGATCAATACCCAGACATGAAACTTCTAGAGCCTCGAAGTCTAGAGTTTCCCTTCTTTGTGGTTAAAACCTGCTGGACATTTCTTACTTTAGTAATCCCTTTTTTTATTTTGCTTGATGAGAAAATATCATAATACTTACTGTAGGATAGGATTACTGACTTAAACTCGTAAAAATCCCCGGGGTTTTTTTCATGTCCAAAAAAATTGCAAACTCATTGAATATAGGAGTCGGATTCCCTCTAAGGTGAAATTTGGCAAATTTAAGAGCCGAAGTCAAGTAGATAATGAACCGAAATCCAAAAGATTAGAGCCAAGGACGAATATAATGATAACGAAGAAACATGACGGATTAGCTCGGCCCTTCAACTTCGTATAGAACCAGTATAAATGCGCCGCTCTAGATATTGTACTAAGATTATATCGTTGAGATAATGCACTTTTTTCGCCCACAAGCCATGCGACTAACACCTGCAGTGTTCCCCTGTACCGATACGGCAAACAAGCCGGTTTATTCTAAGAGTTCAGTTCTTTAAGCAATAACAACTAGGCTTAAAGAAACCAATGTTAATATTTTTTCTGTGTCTCTGAACAAAGCAAAGGAGATTCATATCTAAAACTTCAATTATTTTATAGATACCGACCCTAAAATCGTGCGAACTTTTAGGCTGATCTAAGTCAGGGCATGGCTAACTCACAGATCGAACGGTGAAACAACCTCTTGGTAGATCAATGTCAGGGTATGGCTAACTCACAGATCAAACCCTGAAACAACCTCTTGGTTGATCAAAGTCAGGGCATGGCTAACTCACAGATMRAACCCTGAAACAACATCTGGGCTGATCAAAGTCAAGGCGTGGCTAACTCACAGAGTGAACCCTGAAACAACCTCTTGGTTGATCAAAGTCAGGGCATGGCTAACTCACAGATCGAACCCTGAAACAACATCTGGGCTGATCAAAGTCAAGGCGTGGCTAACTCACAGATCAAACCCTGAAACAACATCTGGCCTGATCAAAGTCAAGGCGTGGCTAACTCACAGATCAAANTGGCTAACTCACAGATCAAACCCTGAAACAACATCTGGCCTGATCAAAGTCAAGGCGTGGCTAACTCACAGATCAAACCCTGAAACAACATCTGGGCTGATCAAAGTCAGGGCATGGATAACTCACAGTTCGAATTGGAATTTAGTGTGAATTTGGTTTTGCGGAGAGAGGAAAAACCGCAGAAAACCTTCAAAGCAAGGTAGTCACCTAACGAAGTTAACTCTACTCACATGTGATGCCGAGTACGAGAATCGAGCCTGAAACCCCAGAAGTATCCATAGACTCGTACACGAGGATAGTTATTGCCGAAATCAAGGCACTGACACCTTGTAAAAAATCTTTTTTTCTTTTCAGTTAAAGCTTTAGTAATCAACTAACCAAATTGTATACTGTATACCGTAAGAACTACTCCCCTCTAGTCATAGGCAAGGGAGGGGTTTCTAGGGAGCGGTGAACCTGGTTATGGCCTAATGACTAATACTTAAGTATAAGGCGCAGTAATATGGGCAAAAAAGGGCGGCAGCAACTAATGCGTTGCTCGTTGCAGAGAGGTTGCTCGTACTAGTTACTACTCTGCGCGCGCGACAAATTTAGGTCTTATAGTTTACAGAGTCTTGTGTTGTGCAGCCATTAGCGCGGTTTTCGTATGAATTGGTTTGAGCAGTTTTCGTATGACTGTGAAAAGCTCACGGCACGACACGGCAAGGCATACGCCAGACCAATAACATTGCTCGAGAATTTTCTCTCCATCCATTCAAATACCCGTTACACGGAATAAACACGGCGCGGACACGGTCACGCTAAGGTCACGGCATTGCGTGAGAAAAAAATCAGCCAATTAAAATTTTAGGAAGCACTACGGTCACAGCAAGGCACATTTACGGCACAGAGCTTTTCAGTCATACGAAAATGGCATGTGGTACCGTGTACTGACGTCCGTGCTGTAAGTCAGTACCTTATTTTTCCCACTCCTTCGAAGACCTCTCTCAAATATGCCTTAATCGGAGTGTCTATATGACAATTATTCGCATAGCAACTTACAACTTAGCAATGTTGCGAAACAAATTGCGCCATTTTTTTGCCGACTTACCGCACCTTGCACGACGTTTTTAAAACAAATCAGTTTACAAAATAAACATCAGTCGTGAATCACAATGACACTAAACCGTCAATCTTTGCCTGCAGTTTTCCCGCTTCTCTTCTCATCTTCTTTCCTTCTTGCCAGTTGCCTTGCATAGTGTATGCGGTTCCCAAGACGGTTAGAGCACGCACCACTTCAGGATGTTCTTCCCCATACATGTTTTTGAGCCCAGTCACAGCTAACTCTAACATCTTACGCCCTGAGACAGCATCTCCTGTCGACAAATACGCATGCCCAAGGTCTGTAAGGGTGCTGGCCACTTCACAGGCAAATCTTCTTCTTTCAATCTCGTCATCTGATATAGGGGCCGAAGCTTGCATGTAGGAAAGAGAACGTTCAATAAATTCCTTGCTTCTCAGTTTGAACCCCAGGGTCCCGTATACCGCGCCCAAGGCTTCCATAGTGCGAGCAAACTCTAAAGGCTTCTTGTATTCGCCGGATTTTTTCCGCTGTAGATCGTAAATTCCGATGGCCCTCTCTAGAAGTTCTCGTGCTTTTGTCGGATTTTCTAAAGAGCTGTAGACCTCAGCCAACCTTGTCAAAGTAACAGCAACCTCAAGGCTGGACTCTCCAAACTTTTCTTCTTCAATCTCAACTGCCCTCTCTAAAGAAGGGATGCTAGCTTGTAGGTTACCTAGGGCTGAGTTGATGGCAGCGACGGCTGACAAGGCATGAGCTCGACTCTTGGGTTCCAGGCTCTTTGAGATATTTGAGGTCAAAATATGATCGAGGTGTGGTTTAAGAAGTCTGGCGAGAGTTCTTGTTTGGACGTCTTGGCTGCATACAGATGATACCCCTTTAATGGTATTTAATACCAGACTTATGTGGTTCTGGTAGTGTTTGACCGCTACCTGAGGCTGTATGGACCTGTAGCTTGGTAAATCCGGGATGCTTTCCTCATCCTTCAACAAAAAGCTCAAATCAGGCACGCTTGATCTCTTGTTATCTATGGCCATTTCATCCTCTACCGTATTATCAGTATCTTTCAGGAACTTTTGTGTTTCAACACTCTCTCCAAGGCTGTTGCGGAACTCCTGAAGGGACCTCTGAGGATCAAACTGCCAAAACCTTCTGAACCAGGAGCTGTTCCTGTATTTTTCTTCTGCCTGAGTAAGACAGTTAGTCTCCAAGAGAGGTGCTGTGGTGGAGAGGAACAGTTGTGACATCAGCTCATGCACAATGGGACTCACTCTCAATGTCTCCACTCCTATATCAATGTAAAAACGTGATATTAGTGCTGAGGGTGAGAATAATGTCAACTCCAAAGGGGGTGGCTACCCATCCAATCTACCCCCTACCCCCACCCAATCTACCCCCTAAATCTGCCCTTGTTGGGAGGCATTGGGGGGAGGGGGGAAGGAGGAGGAGGCATGTGGAGGGGGAGGAGAGAGGATGCATGCAGGGGGGGGGGGGGGGGTGGAGGGAGAGCTATAAATATTAATAATAGCAGGGTGCCCACATCTAAAAGATTAAGTTCAAGTCCTCGTCAGCTTACCTCCAGGATCCACCCTTTCAACGGTAACCAACGAACATGATTTCATCAAGTCAAAAACCCCATCAGTTGGAGGTGAGGTATCAACTGGTGGTGGGTAGAATGCATCCTTGATAGCATCATAGTTAGCTTTCAATGTCTCGGTAAAGGATTCCAAGTTACTAGCTATCCTCTTGATTGACAAGAAACTGTCTTGGACATCCTCTTCTGGTTTGGGCTGTTGTTGGTCAGCATTTCTATCCTCTGGTAAACTGGGAAGCACAGATTGGCTTCTTGGTACTGGAGCAAGATGAAATTCTGGAGATCTCAAGTGAAGTGAGACAAGAGTGACAGGAATGGGCCAGTCTACTGAACATGTGCCAATCAGATCAAATGTATGAAGAAAATGAGGGAACTTCTCAATATACTCCTTGACCAATAAGGAGGCAGTCACATAAGCAGACTCTTTGTGCTCTTTTGGAAGGTCTCTGCTCTTGTTGGACTCTGCAAACTTTAACAGGCCTGAGTTCAGCTCATCGGAGAATTGTTTCATGGTGTATTCTGGGTCTTTATTGAGTCTTGATTTGATGTAGTTCCCGGCACATCCAATACCTAATGGTGAATAACTCAGTTTGTTTAGAACAGTGTGGACACCTTCAAGCTTCTCTTCTGGTAATCCACTCAGGTCTTGGAGAAGTTCTGATGCTTCAAATCTATCCATTCTGCAATACAAACAGTACTGGATCAGCAATTTTAATAATAGGTGACTCAAATAGGAGGCCATTTCATGACCTCTAGATTATAGGTAACAATTATACATCATAGCACTTTTTGAATGACAGACATCTCATATAAGAAAGACACCCAACTTTAAAGAGCCCCCTCAACCCTCATTTCCAGATCAACCCCTTGATCACATGTAGCACTTCTAGCTCTCTTTCAGGGACAGTCATCTTATATAAGACAGACACTTTTGACTTTAAAGCACCCCTTTCAACCTCATTTCTAAGACCCTACCTTATTCGTGAAAACTGTTGTAAAATCTCATTCTGATGCAACATCATGGTAATTCATGGTCCCTAAATGAAATGGTAAGATTCTCCCACTTCTTTCCCAACCACCATCATTTCACTTCCTCCCATCCAAAAAATAATAATGGAAGAATATGTCCATATGCAATCTTTACATTGCTTCTATTTGGTGTTTTATATTTGCTTACCCCTTGTCCACACTATAGCTGTTAACATAGTATAAATTTGGCTGATTGCATCCAGTAATAAGTACAGTTCCTTTACCCCAAGAGCTTTTATCTTCCTCATCAAATAGTTTTCCTAAGATTTTCTCATCTTTCAATCCATCAAGGATAAGAATCCAATGAGGGTTGGCTCTAAGTTTTTCCTTCACAGCTTCCACAATGACGTGAAGCTGCTCATCACTGCTCAGTCCTGTAAATGTGCGTCCTTCTCCGACTCTATCCAACCAGTCTTTAGTTTTGCATCCTATTGCAACAGCAAACCTCTTCACATCGAAGAGCAAAGTTTCAAGAGATGCAGCACTGACAGTCCCAACAAATAAGTTGAATGGCAGAAAACAAAACCTCTTTTCATTGTCCTTGAATAACTTTTCTGCAAATTCACGTGCAAGCAGTGTCTTCCCTGACCCAGTGTGTCCTCCCAGATGAACAAAACTGACAGAGCTTGATTTATTCCTATGAAGCTGTTCCAACTCATGCAAATCTGCATTACGTGCTTGAACCTTATGGTTAGGCAAAGATGGAAAATTCTTAACTATGAGTTTCTTTTTTTCTTTTTCCTTATAGACGTAACGATAAATGATACCAGTGATAGCAGACACTCCTAAAACCCAGTACTTGAGGTTGGGATTTTCTCTCCAAGACTTTGGTGCTTCTTCAGCTGAGCTTTTTGAAATATTCGCTTCACTTTGTGTCGAAAAACGAAGACTTCTTCCTCTGATGTGAGCTATCCTACTTGATACCCGTGGAGAAAATAATCTTGTACGAGGAATTCGTAAGTAAGAACTAAAGCGATACATGACAGTGAAATGAAGAAAGCTCCCTCAGAGTGACTATAATATTTATACAGCACTAGCGACAGAAACTAAACATTTTCATCTAAAAATGCGTAAGACTATTTCCTCGGTACATTTAGTAATTCAAGATTTCGTTTTTCAAAGGAAATTCCGCACGAAGAGGACAGAGAAAGAGGAGTTAATTTCTAACTTGCGAAAGATTCAACACGCGAGATTCAACTTCGTCCGCCATTTTGAATCTCACGTGGAAATTGGTAGTACTTAGTGCCGTAAGCGTGACGTGCCGTGACCGTGATACTTTCTAGAATTTTAATGGCTGATTTTTTTCACGCGCAATATGATTGGTCTAAAAGTGCCGTGATCTTGGCGTGACCGTGTCCGCGCGGTGTTGTTGGAGAGTAAATTATCGTGCAATATGATTTGTCTGGCGTATCCCTTGCTGTGTCATGACGGTGTTCGTGCCGTGAACTTTTCACAGTCGTACAAAAGCTGCACTAGTCCTTTTAGAAACGTTACGTCTAAGAAACGCCTGTTCATTTTTAACCTCGAGAAAATCCAACCTAAAATGGCTTCCGCTTCTCGTCTTACTAAAACTAAGAAGCTCATTATAGACTGCGATGCAGGAATAGATGATGCCCAGGCAATTATCTTAGCTCTTTCATTAGACGTAGAAGTCCTTGCCATAACATGCGTGGCGGGAAACATTGGTGTTGATCAAGTGGTGAAGAATGTGCTCAAAGTACTGGATACATGTGGAAGAACTGATATTCCAGTGTACAAAGGAGCAGATCGTCCTCTGTTGGGTATGTATCAGGTTTATGTGTAAGTATATTTTTGCCTAGTAAACCCGTGAGAAGCCTATGGTGTCATGTGATCTCATAGCTATGTGCAAATATTTAAGAAATAACAATCTATAGGACATATGTTTTCCCCAAAGCAGGGGCCCATATGCATGTTCGATACGTTAGACTGCCTACGGCTTTGCCTTTTCACTTGACATCATTTCCTGTATATTGTGTGGAATGTTCATCAACTAAATCACAAGTTTTTAATATAATTCTTTCTGGTTGAAAGCACATGGTGGTCAGTGTTTGACCATACCATTATTTGGAGCAGATAAAATATCAGCTGATTGAAACCCAGCAATTATATTAAGTCTGTTGGGTGATATTGATTAACAGAGAATCTCTTTCAATTAGAATTTTGAATTCCTTCTTTTACTGATTTTTCAGTTCCTTCCAGCATATCGTGTGTCATTCTTAGTATTCTTGCCAACTTGGGGTGCAACTGCATGTCTCAAAATGCTTTGAGATATAAATAACAGTGAAACCCTGCTGCTATGTTGATTGATCTAACAAGAGAAGCTAATGAGGAATGTTTTGTTATGATCAACCAACATGGTAGTTTTGTTACATCACCCCAAAAATATGAAAAATTGGTGCTTATTCTTCTGCAACAGGTCAAGCTTTTGAACTTCCAAACTATCATGGAAAAGATGGCCTTGGGGATGCTACTGATGCAAAGGGGCCTGATATGGATTTGGTGAAGAGTACCCATGCTGTGGCAGCCATCTTAAACCTTGTCAACGAAAACCCAGGAGAAGTGACGATAGCTGCTTTGGCCCCCCTAACGAACCTAGCCCTAGCTTGCCGAATGGATGATGATTTCTCCAAAAAAATAAAAGCTATAGAATTGATGGGTGGCAACAAACATGGCATAGGGAATCACTTCATCTCTGCCGAGTTTAATTTTGGAGCTGATCCAGAAGCAGCATTTGTTGTGCTGGATCAATTTGAGTGCCCAATTAATATTATATCTTGGGAGTTTTGTCTTGAAAACCCTATTGAATGGGAGTTTTTTAATAACTACATTGGCCTACCAACTCCTAAGTCACGTTTTCTAAAAGCAATTTCCACAAAAATTGCAGATTATGAAGCAGGAGGGCCCTGGTTAACTTGTGATCCTTTTGCAGTGGCGGTTGCTCTTTGTCCTGATATTGTTTTAGAAGATAAAATGGTTCATGCTACTATTGAATTATCAGGGAAAGTGACAAAAGGTATGATGGTTATAGATTGGAGAGGAAAACTAGAGAAAAAGCATAATGTTCGACTAATTGAGAAAGTTAATCTAGATCGATTTAAAGCATTATTGTTAAGGTCTGTTAGCTAAGTGAAGGTGCTTGCCAATGAATTCAAGAAAGCTTGAATCTTTGAAATTGTTTACAGGATTGTACAATGTGCCTAATTGATGACTTTTAAAACTCCAGTGTATTTGGGCTCAAGCTTGAATCAGGGAGTTGATTGTGTTGTGATTCTAATTTCTGCTTTTGTTTACCAACCTCAGAAGTGAGGCTAAGCCCACATACACTGGAGTTTTTAGAGTCGTGAATTGTGCCAAGTTCCATGAAAAGGCTCTCTTGGGTTAGTGCACATGTTGCATTTGTCTACGAGAGTGATTAGCCATTCCAAGGTTGATGAGAAAACTGAGTCGAGTCTGTATTACAGTGCATTGTGGGATTGTCTTAGGGGACAAAATAGCCACCATTTTTGAAATATGTCCCCTAAAGCAGCCCCACAATGCACTGCAATGCCAACTCAACCTAGCTTTTCCCTCAACCTCCAAGTTGTTTACAGCTGTATATAACAAAATCTGTGAGAAGCACTGGAGCAAGAGAGCCTTCTGAAGCCCAGAATCAAGCTGAATAAAATTAAGTGTGAATTTGTGGATTGAAATGTCAAATAAAATAATAATCCCTCTGCAAGCAGAGATGATATGGATGAAAAATACAACCTACAGCCTAAAACCTGCCTTTGGAAAGTGCTGCATTCGTTACTGATAGTGTTGAACTTACTATTGTTTTCATTAATGTAGAAAAACGTACTGACACTCTTCTTTGGCATTGAGGAGTGATTGATTTAGCAAAGAATTTGACCCAATATTAGTAGAAGATGTTTTCTTTACAAACAGACTCATTTTAACATTACTGTATAGAACGTTTTGTGGCAAAGCAGAATGAATATGGGATTCATTCTGTCATTGATAAATGAAAAAGACAGAAACACACTCCTTAAAAAATATTTTTATTACAATAATAAAGAAAGCTGGTCTCTACAATATACAAATTTACCTATCATCTTAATTATCATTGATTAAGTTGTGATGAAGCCAGAAATCAAATTTTTTGGTGTTCTTGAATAGATTTCAGTTGGAAAGCAATCTAATTTTTTATCTGAAAAAGATAAAAAGTCAATATTTTTAATTAATTCCTATAACATTGATAAAATATGATTATGATGATGATGATGTGATGAAAGCCAGTTAAATGCTGAAAAATATGATCTAATATCCTGTATATCATGTCAAGTGTTGTTTTGTAGGTTGGTTTCATAATTGTTAAATAAACGTTTCTTCAACCAAAATCAAATTATTTCTGAGCTTTCAGGCATTTGCACCCATCTTCCCAACATTCGTTGCTCAAGATATGCCAAGACTCAAGGCTATATCATTATCAGTATTTTAATATCACCAGTGACTGTTTTCATTGCTACATGTACATGCTCAATTGTCTTATAGGTAGCCATGTTTTTCTTTGTTTTCATCTTTATAAATCCAAATCCAATTACCTTGGGTAACCTCTTATTGTCCTGGACCTGACAAGCTTTTGTCCATGAACTTTCTCTTGACAAAACACATCCACCACTAAAGTAAAAAAGAAAGAAAAATACGAACAAACAAAATAAATTATTGGTTCATTAGATAGAGTGCATACCATATATATCTGTGAAAAACTTTGTTAGAAATTGCACAAATTAGACTATAAGTTCAGTAGACCATATACCTACAAAACTCTGCTCTAATTTGTACAAGTTTGTTATTGAACTTTTTCACTGACATATGGTATGCACTCTACCATTATCTACAATAGGTTTTTATGACAAAGGTGCTAACATGGATTTAAAACTTAGTATATAAAAAAACAAAATTGCATTTGTTTTTTGGGCCAGAGAAACACTTATAGACAAAGCTTACCAACATGTGGCCTTTTTTAAGAGAGGAAATCTAAAGATTACTGGAGAAACCTTAAAAGCACAAGAGAACCAGCAAGATCTGTACTTGGAATATGATCATACCAGACCACAACCTGAACTATCAGTGCTTCTGTTCCCTACCATTTATTTCATGAATTTCTCACCTTTGAAGGTTTGTCAGTCTGAGGATCAAAGATTTTTTCTACAAGTCGCTGTCCAAGTTCTTGTCTAAGTTGAGTCAGATATTGTCTCATGGTGTCTGGGAGCAAAAATAAAGAAGGCTTAACCAATGAATAATACAGTACAACTCTAAGGACTGTTGAGACTTATGTGCGGCAAATATTTGTGGAATGTCTATTGTCAATCATTCAGAAAGCATAGGAAATCAGAAACAAGATCTGCAACTGTGGATGGGATTCTAACTGCACAAATTTTAGCACAATACAAGGGCGGATCGAGCCCAAAAAAATTGGGGGGGGGGGGGCTAATTGAGTTTCTTCCCTCAATACAATGGAAAACAATAAAAAAAGGCATCTAATTCTTCAGTTTTGTCTTGTTTTTTTTTTCTGCTGAAGGGGGGCTACAGCCCCCCTTTTTTTTCTGCTGAAGGGGGGCTACNGGGGCTACAGCCCCCCTTTGTCCCCCCCCCCCCTCCCCGGATCCGCCCTTGTAATATCTGAAACCCAAAGAACTCAAGTAATCTCGATTTTCTCAAGCTAAAACGACATTAAAATATGGAGATACCAGTTGATGGTTGCATTTAAGCAAGTAAATATTTATTTTCATAGCTGATTTTTTAACGTTTTCAGGTGCTCAGAGATTTTTGAGCCACATGTAAAAGATGCACAATTTTCACTCCTTGAACATCATCCACAGTTGTAGGACCATGAGTCACATAAGTCCTTCATCATCACACTTGAACATTGAAATTTTAGCTCCTGATATAAATAGCTGAAACAGCCCTCACAGGATAAGAACTTCATGTTTGTATGAAGTCTGAAAGTGAAGTTTCACATAACTTTCATAAGCAGATGAATTAAGACGATTTACAAACATATTATTATTGATCTGCTAACATCTTAGCGAGCAAGAGAGTGACTGACAGATTCATTTGCATATTCAGACCCCTCACAGTAACCATTTCTACACTTCTTGAGTTAAAAAGGAGCAAGACTATACCTGCGTCTTGTTTATTGGCTGGTTTCTGGTACATTGCATTCAATGGAAAGCCTGAATCTCCTGGCAAATCAAAGTTGACAATGGCCAAGTTCTTCATATCTTTCTTGGCCTGCTCTTTTCCTTGTACCTAAAATTTTTTAAATGCATTTTAAGATAATAATCTTATTATAACTATTATCAAAACTTAAGGAATATAAAATATTATAATAATAAAATTCAGGGCATGAAATTAATGCCCACAAACTTAAAAAATTAAATTAGCTAAGTTTTGTGAGTATCACCACAGTCCGGAAATCAAAGGACTGAAAAATTTAGAACCCGCATCAAGTAAAGTTTGTTATTCACTGTGTCCGATCACTAGTGACTGCTTAGTGATTGCTAATGAGAACAAAAATTACTAGCAAGGTTTTGCTAGTGGGTTTAAAAGCTAATTTCAAGCCCTGACATTGTCATATGGCTCATTATACAAAGAGTACCAACAACTGCATTTCATTCGTGGAGTATTTTATAGTTGCTTCAAAAATAAGATAAATGATGGGAGCATTTTAGATACCCTTATTTTAACTGTACCTACCCTTTGCAGCTTCTTCAGACATTCAGTGATATAAAGTGTAAGGTAAATGAGAACACGATCTGCCTCACTCTGGAAAACACAAGCACAAAGTCTTTTTTTAAAACAGTGGATCAAAATTGGAAAATACTGGGTTATCATGAAGGGTTGGGGATGATCTTTCCCTATTATTTCAATACCCTTCCATGTATCTCTGGCTAGATCATGATCTCCTATTATAGACCCAGGAGATAGGTGATGTGAGGGAGAATGATATTGAATAAGTAGGGAACAAATGCAGGATTAGATAAGAAAGGTGGGTGCATGGGAATAGGACAAGAGAAGAGGGATGTGAGAGGTAAAATGACCACGTACAGGGCTGGATTCTAAAAATTCTAAAAGGGGCTCGGATATTTTCAAAACTTAGCAATTATCCTCTCTCCACATTAAGTTGAGGCTTTCATTTTAAAATAGAAGGATAGCATGGCTCAATCATCAAATCCTGTATGCTTTATTCTTGCCCATAGATGCCAGTCTTCTTCGATACAACTATACAATACAATACCTTAATTTCATAACTTTTGAAGAAGACATTGGCTTTGAAGTAGTAGATTGCTTCATCAATAATATCTGGACCACTTTGGTCTGAAAAAGAAAAAGAACAATACAACTATGAACAAAGACTATGATATATAACAACTATGAATACTATGACTTAGACTAAAATTATATCACACTATTCCTTGATATAGTTGTAAGTTTTGGTAATATTTAGCCAGATGGTCTAAAAATATTTCAAACTTATTTGTCAATATTCAAGTATTCACACATGTAACCAAATATTTAGCCAAAATTTGTTCATAATAGTAGATATCTATCAAGTTATTTGTAATTGGTAGATACCTTATTTATATTCAATGTATTTAGAAAGAAATAAGGAGGTAACAGGATAGAAAAAGCGAATCAAAAGCCTTACTTCCAGGAGGTGCTGGACCTTTGAAGGTGGTGTTGACGGGCAACAGCGCCATATTACCGATAGACATCGGCGCCTCTAAACTCGAATGATAAGCCTAGAAATAGAAAAATCAAATAAATAAACCCTTGAGCTAGGTGTCCTAGTAGGTTTTGTTGAATAGAATTGTGGTATTTACTCACAGGCATGATTTAAATGACACAAAATACGAGTAAACTTAGAACTGCTTCAGAGGAAGTAAACTCCCATATCATCCACAATGCATTGGGCTTCCTTCCGCATTCCCAGGAAGCATAGCGGTCACGAACCACAGGGAGCCCAAATACAAAAAACTAAATGAAAAAATCGAAAAAATCGAAATCAACAGAAAAAGAAACAATGGCTGTGAGTGGAAAGAGAAAAAAAGGAATGACACGTATCCTAGCTGTTTGGTTCTTTAAGCACGGGATTTTCTCATATGTATGCACAATAACTAAAGAATTTCCCATTCATTCATTCATCTATTAATATATTTTAACGATATTTATACAGGCATGCATGTCTCATTTAGTAGAACTCGTTTAAAGAGAGCCCTGTTAACAAACACACACACACACACAAAGAAATATAGCCATAAACTCCAATTACTTATGATACAAATAATGAAATACGATGTATAAGAATTAAGTTAGCATGTCGCATTTCTAGGTCGTTAAGCGCTTAAAATGACGTTTGCATTCTTTTTAATCTTTTTAGGCTCTTTGTTTGATTGATATAATATAATAGAATTGCCCATTCACTCATCTATTCATTCATTCATTTTTCATTTCAAATATTCATTCATTCATTCGTTCATCTATGCATGCATGGTTCATTCACTCATGTATTCATCTTACCAATCCCGCATCCATCTGTCAACAACTTTATTCAAACATAGGGACATGGCGAATCTGCTAGTTTGCGCAGGCAAGCGGCTTACGTAAACAGGAAAACATTTCGAAAAAAAATTTTTTTCCATGTTCCATTCAGTAATACAGCACAGCTCTCGACCAATCAGTGCGCGTAAGTACAAGTTATAGGCCATGCATCCCAGCCTGCGTAGTGGCGCTTTCAAGAGGGGGAGAAGCGGGTGGGCGCCCCTCTTCAAAGCGCCGCTACGCAGGCTAACGCATCCAGGCACTGTCTGATTATTGGCCATTATTGCTGAAGTATCTTGGATGCGACCCTAACATGGAAATACAAAAGAAATGCCACAAATTCCATCGAGAAAAAGCGTGATTTCCTTTATATTTGCATGTTAATTAGCCTCGCATATACGCGATACTTTTTTTAGGAGGTTCTATTGGTATCGAACAATAACAAACCATGTTTTTAATATTTTCCAAGCAGGTATATATATGATCTAATGAGTAATCAAAAATGGCGCCCAACTGTGACAGATTGCATGTTCTCGTTCGGCTGAACCGTGTCCCTAGCTTGACAATTCGACCTGGAAGCTACTTAACTGCGAGTTGAGAAGGCGTTAAAAAGGTGATTCCTACTTTAAAAAAAAAAATCATAGAGAACGAAATATATCAACTTTATTAGCTATTTTGGTTAATAAAATGCATGTTGTTAAATACATTGTTGTTTGCTGACTTTTTTTCACTGAAATTAAAACCATATGATTATTATTCTATTAATCATCGTATTCATATTTATTTTTTTACAAAACCTTACTGTCAGTCATGTTTTACTCAAATGACTAGAAAAATATTCATCAGTGTCCTGTTGGACTAAATTTGAGAACTTCGAGAAGTAAACATCCCTAAGCTTCTATATCGACGAGTGTTTGAGATCATTTGCACTAGTTTCTCAGTGTTGAAGCTGGTTGCTTTGTACGAGCTCCGTTGATTCGACGAAGTAAGAAGAAGTGGTTCAGAATTGTTGGGAGGGATTCCAGTGCTTCTAGAGAATCCAATTTTACTGACACTCAATTCGCTAAGCTTCCCCCGAGAGCATTTTTCAGAGTATACGATTTGTTCGTTGGTTGTATTACACCTGCAACGACAGAGTTGGTCTCGAATGGCGTTGTCGAAAAAGCTGTAAATGGCGGGATTAAGACAGAGCTTGGCTAAAGCAAGGAACGAAGAAAGGTCGTGTATCGTTTGAAAACTAAAGTCTTTTTTAAAACTTTGGATGTTTTTGATAACAAACAAGGTGGCTAGAGGAGCCCAGCAAAATAAATACGTCGACATGACTATCAAGTTCATGATCACAGACCGCCTTTTGGCTAAAGGGACGATATTTGAATCCAAAGCCGTTGTGTAGCTTCGATGAATGGGTCCAGGATAATTGACAGTCTTTGTTGGTGTGCCATTATTTGTTGCTCTTCCTCGAGAAGGACTTCCACTTCGAAGAAGACGCGTAATTATAACAACGTAAACCATCACAACCATGAGAACAGGTAGCAAAAATATCAACCATAACTCAATCAAGGAATATAACCGATCGAGTTGGGTGAGTGAATGTTCGTGGTTTGGGTGACATTGAAGTAAGAGTGCATCGGGTTGGTGGGTCGTTCCTAGGACATAGTACATCACAGGACTGGCGCAAAGAAGAGGGTAGCACCAGGAAAAGACCATCATGTGACGAGCTTGGCGGCGGGTTACTTTAGACAAAGGATGGAAAACCGAACAGTATCTGTCGACGCTTAACATGATTAGCGACATCATAGCAGAGCCCAGAGCAACAGTCTGAATATATTCCAACAATTTACAAAAAGTGTTTCCAAAAATAAGATTGTCAGTGAGTTCTCGTTCGATTTGAATAGGGATGACGATAACCGCGATCAGAATCTCACTCAACGCTAAATTTACAATAATATGGTTCATGGCTGACATTCTTTGTGTGTGGAGACCACAGTAAAACACCATTGCATTTCCAGTTATGCTTACGATGAAGATTAACGCGAGAATCACGGTTTTTCCGACTGCTAAAGTTTCGTCGTCCTCCATTGCAATGTTCCTCCGATGAATGCCAAAATTCCCGAAAAAAAGACTTTTCTTTCGATTAATAACTGTCCGTGTGCTAATGTTGATGTGTGTGAATCACTTCATCGGTCGAAACGCATGCCTGTCTTCTCTTGTGTCGCACATTATTTTCTTACTACTTAACGGCGTTTGCTTGGGAAGACGATGACTCCTTGTGATAGAATTATCATTTGCATGGTGACTCATTCATTGATCGTGGCCATAGAGCCATGTGATCACCCGCTGGCCACGTCACAACCCGATGACCGCGCGAAGACTCCACCCTGCATGTCCAATCAACTTACGTAACCCTAGAAACAGCAATGAACGCATTCGTGCATCAATAAAAGCGCGCACGATGTCGTGACTTCTTTTGCGGTTAATGAGAAGTAAAGGTGTGATAATCTAATACAGGCAATGCAAGACTGACAAAATCGTACAATGAATCGCGAAGCAATATACACCGAATTGAAATATGGCGACCAATTTGAATAACTACTATTCTGCCCTGACTAGCGACTGACTAGCCTCTCATACATGTGAAAACGCTTTTATGTTTCCACGTGAACGCGAGGCTAGTCAGTCGCTAGTCAGTGCAGAACTAATTATTCAAATTGGTCGCCATATTTCGATTCGCTGTATTGTGTTTCAAAGTAAAATTGTAGAGCGGGTGAATATTGCTGGTATGCATTGCGGCCCTCGCGCAGCAAATCTACTTTGTCACAAGTAATCATCTTCGAAGTAATCATCTTCGAAGTGTRCATGCAACATCATCACTCGCGACTTCTTTACGCTCACTAAATAGTTACCTAACCATAGAAACAGCAACTAAAATCGCACGCCACTTCATAAATAGGGATCTCGATCGTCTCCAGCTAATAGAGGACACCAAGGGACGCAATAACATAAACGACAGAAAAAGAAGTATTGGAGCATCAGCCGTCCTATGCATGTGAACTGTTAGACCGCCTTGTTACCTCAACAAAGAAAGTCAAGCATTTAAAGGCGTCTGTTGGGTCATAGTGTATCAGGCGCTAGGTCATAGGCAAACCAACGCATAGCCTACGTCATACACACCCAGCAAAAATCATCGACAAAAAAAATTAAAAACGAGAGTTTTTTTAAAGAAGGCAGTCGTCTTTTTTTCACTGATTTTATCGACAGAATTTCATTCCAAGGAACTGTAGCTTGATTTTTGTGTGTGGCATTTCTCATAACAGTCCGTCTGGTGGCCATATTGTGAAGAAATTCGCTTTTGACAAGCAAAAAAGCACCTGTTGTCTAATTGAAGGAGAGCGATCGAATCAATTGGAAACAAAAACGGCTCGTTTTTACTTTTGTTCCAATTAAACGCAGTGAAAACAAAATAAATATCTCACTTAACCGTAACTCGATCGTTGGAAACAGCATCCGCTTTACGCTTTGACAATTTCAAAAAAAACTTCCATCCTTTCGTGTTTTTTTTTTTGTCCAATCAAAATTATTTAAAACACGCGTTAATTTTCTCTCTGATATTTAATTCTAAGTTTTCTCCAGCAAAAAAACTAAAAGCCTTCATTAGGGATTTCGTGATACACTTATTTCAATAAAGTTAGCCACCTGAAAGGCTATAAACTGAGGCCGACCAGGATTATGGGTAGATTCATTTTACACGTTCAACCGCTTGATAACTGTTCATGGACTTGCAAATCTTTTACCGGTTACAGTCTCACCTCTTCTGAGCATCATCGAGCTGCAGTTTGTATTAAAAAAGCTTTGTATATATATGCTTTTTTGATATGAAAAGTTTCCCATGATCCTCAGTGATCTCAGCTTTCTAGGTTTTTGGTGACTAACTTTATTGAAATAAGTGTATACGTTTACTCGAAGAACTGATACGGCGGCCATCTTGAATTCTATTAGTAAGAGATTATTGGATGCCGAGGTAGCAAATATTGGAAAATTTAGAGTACACAGTTGTCAGGGTGTCTTTTTATATGACTTTACGTTATCCACCCTAAAGCGTAAAAACGAAAGCGTAAAATTATTGGCGCTCGTTTGCCACCAAGGCGACCACGGTTCGATTCGTAATTGAGTAGTTGTTTCAAGGTTGGTTCTCTACCGTCCTTCAAGGGTTTTTTTTCCATGCTCTCCAGTTTTTACTCTCTGTAAAAAACATCTAAATTCCAATTGCAATCCAGTGGAAGAAGAGCCACCCTGTAGAATCCACTGTTACTTTCCATTTATTTGAAAAAAAGCAACTTCGCCACCAAGAGAAAATTTTCTCTTGTCGCCACTCTTGGCTTTATAAATGTCTACGTCTGCTCCCTGGCATCCCATAATTTAAGATGGCTGCCGTATCAGTAAAAAGGTGTACTGCACGACAAATTTATTCTCAATAAAATTATTTAAATTCACCGCGATTTACAGTCAAAAATATAGCAAAATCACATATCATATTTTCAAAAAATATCTTAACTAAATAGGTAGACCTGGGTATACACTTTAGATCTAGATGTTACAGTGCGTCCAAGACAAGTCATGGACCGATGTAACTAATGACCTGGCGTTAGGAATATGTTATGCTAGGTTATTTGATTATTTCAAATCAACACTCAAATAAAGTGAAGCGATCCTTAAAGGCTCGAATCGTAGTTCTCGTCACGGTGAGGCATTAACGCGACACCTATACGCCTCCATGCATGCTACCCATCTAAGAAATCTTCTGTCACTAGGTTTACCACAGATATACACTTATTTCAATACAGTTAGTCGCCTGAAAAGCTACGAAGCTGAGACCAACAAGGATTATGGGTAGTTACATTTTACA